CACCCAGGCCAAAACGCCTCACCCCTCGCCTTAGGCGAGCGCCTGGGCGCACCTTGAAAACACTGGTTCAGAAGCAAAGAAAAAACTGATTGGCAAATGTATCAAAAAGAAGGGAAAAACCTTAAAATAGTAGTTGTCGGGATGTCCTTGCATTTTTGTTTTCTTCTCTTGCCTAGTTCTTATCTAGGTTTGATTTCTTATACAAGGTCCTGTTTGGGCTTTTGATGGTATAATGAGATTTTAATCATACACAAAAAGATACATATCCTTCATTAGTGAAAAATAAATGAGAAGCCAGAGCTTTTTCTAAAATCAAGGATGAACAAATAATTTATCATCAAGGTGAAGAGTTGTGAGACGTCGAGGAAAAGTTTGACTCGAAGTTACCAACCAGGACATGAGAGAAATCAAGTTCCTTGTGAGTTGCTGAAAACTCTATGTCAAAACTAGCAATCTGAAAAGCCAAACAAAATATGTGAAAATAAAATAACACCTTCTTTTAGTAGGAAAGTCATCAAGGAAAAGAAGTGGGTAGGCCAAGGAGATACCTGCTCTCTTAAAATAAGGAAGTGCTTTATCAAGAAAAGTTGCCCATCCATAGGTGAAGATCTTTTTGCAATAAGTTTACTTGCTTTCTGGAGTAGATAAAAGGAAGCACATTATGAACAAAGCATAAAGATTGTTAGAAACTTTGTTGACACCGCATAGTCGACAAATGTAGCTAAATCAGATCCCAACAAACAAGGATGAAATTTCTTCTATTATAAGATTAGAATATCTAATTTTGTATTTAAGAAAGTTAAATGGTTATGTCTTACTTGGATAGATGTAGAACAAACTTCCACAGCTTCCTGCAAAATATCACAACAAACATTGAAACAAACCTGTCAGATAAGCATTTAGAATGATGAGATTACCATAATAAGTTAAGATCATTTAAAGTACCTGGGCTAAACCAGTGAACACAACTGGTTCTAGGCAACGATACAACTTTGAAAGGTATGATAGTGTTTTCTCTAGAGGAGGGTACCAAGTGTTAGGTGTGCCTTGATTCATGCCAGCCTACAATGGGATAAAGCCAGTTTTTGAAGCATAAAATCAAGCAGTTACGATTAAGAACTTAAGTTAAAGTACAACTATTTTTTTATCCAACAATAAAAGGGCGGCAATTGAAATGAAGGGTAAGAAGAATTACGGAAGTACTTTCTGACATTTCCCCAGAAGTTTTCTCAAGCTTTTCTGGATACTGCAAGTCTTCATCGGAAGGAAAATAATTTGCAATCTACAATAGAAAATAATGAAGAATTATTTACCCTTTCTAGGCTTCATCAATATCGTTGATGCTAGTGCCATATAATTTTTTTCTTTAAAAAGGGAGATTAGAGTATGAAAAAAAAAGTGAACTACAACCAAATGTTAAAAGTGTTTACAAAAATCCTTTCAATTATATCATGTTGGAACTTAGATGGCAGGGTGTTCTTAATGGAGCCTTTTCCATTTGTCTACCGTCGAAGATATTTCAAAGAAGGTTCGAAGTTGGCTGTACCTCCCTCTAGTACTGATGATTTGTGTTTCTCCTCAAGAGGATATTTCTGGCTCAACTAGATTTTTTATTGTTTCTCCTAAGAGGATCCATCCTTTTTCTCACGATACTATTCATTCAACTAATGATGAGGCTACTAAAGACATTTTAGAGGAAAATTATTCAGATTTTAGTGATGATTCAATTGTTAGTCTCAGAGCATCGATTTTAATTTGGAGTGGAATCAAGATGACCTTGAAATTAGGCCTTATCTTCCTTCTCCTAGGGAAAATTCCTCTTTCATCATGAAGGAAGGTTTCTGTTAGACCCCCAATCATTAAGACATATAGTAGAAAGGGTAAAGGGGTAATTGTAGAGGGAGATGGCCATAACGGCCAAGAGAGAGAAGAGGGAACGAGTGGACAGATGTAGGGAATGGGCCGTTGTCTATAAGGCCAGAGAATGTAGGGGGGAAAGGATCATTCTAGACTTTTGTGCTTTTGCAGCTTTTGAGTTTGTTGGTAGAGAATACCCACCCTCTCGGATTGGTGGGTCTGTTTCTGATTCCCTAAGGGCTTTTTGTTGGTTTTGTAAAGCCTACGGGCTCTTTTCTAAGAAGTAAAACATCTTGTGAGGGGTTGATACCTCACAGTTTCATCAAATTTTCAGATATCATTGAAGATCTTTTGATTTTTTCAAGCTTGCTTTTGCAAAATTTTCTAGTCTTCGTGGTTTCCCTTTGGGATAATCTTGTTGTTTTTATATCCTTTCAATCCCTAGTTCATCGAGAAGGCTAAAAGCATTTTACTGGCTTGGAAATGAGCCCCTCCACTGCAGCTTCCCCATTCTTTTTGCTGTCTCTAGCAAAGAGTAGCCCCATCAAGGAGCAATGGAATGTTAATAATCTTGACTCTTGGGATTTGGCCATTTGGGTTTAATAAGAGGTATTAAAGATGCAGAAATTCTTAAATAGGCCGCTGTTTCATACATGTCTACTTTCAACTCGCTCATCATGAGGAGTATACCTATGGATTGACAAAAACAGATCCTTCTCCACACAATCTCTATCTTTTGACCTTGCTTCATGGGGCAACACAAATTACTTCCATTTATATAAGAGCATATGCAAGGATAAATTCCCAAAAAAGGTCAAATTTGTTTTTATGGAGTTCAGCAAATTATGAATGAACACCCATGACCATCTTCAATGAAGATCCCCTTGGCTATCTATTTCTCCAAATTGTCACCCATTTTGTAAAAATGCTTCCATAACACAAAACCATCTTTCTATCACCTTCCAACATGCCCCATCTTTTTGGGGAATGTGTTTGTCTATTCTTGGTTGGTATGCCACTATTCTGCTGGAAGCTCCTACCATGCTTGCTATTGCTTACCTTCTCAATGGCCATTCCTTTAATGGTCATCCCTTTAAGAGAAAGAAGAAAGTGATATAAATGAACTTCATTAGTT